TAATTTTTTTAAGTATGAATTAACATTACAGGGAGTTAAATGTAAACTAAAAGCTGACAGCCTGAGTAAATGACTTAGAAAGATAATAAAGGGAAACAAATAGTCGGGCATCTACAGGGCTGGGAAAGTAAAATGCACCATCAAGATTACTGTAACCACCTTTTACTGCTTTCACCCTTTCTGGCGCAGTGTGTTCGGTGTGAACACACCAAAAATATTCCCTTAGACACTGAAAATAATCAATAAATATCACGAAAACTACACTAATGCTTACTTTTATTCTATTTTATGAATAATAGATGGCAGCACCACACAAGCAAATCATTAACATTGAGATATATTCTGTTTTTAAAGACACTGATTTTTCAAAGAAATGTTTCAGATATTTTTTTTAAATATAAAGAATATCAATGAAAAAAAAAAATCTTTGTATAATTTTGTCGTTCGTATGCTAATCTGCCTATTAGGTATTACTTTTAATTTTTATCTTTGAAATATTGTGTATGGTGAAGCCTTCAGCGTATAGTGTGTTCGGACTGAACACACTGTACTGGTAGTGCCTGTTATGTGGGAGTGAGTCACAGAATCCGGTCTCGTGCTTGAAACGTGGGGGAGGCTGAAAGCACCGATTTATTTATATTTGTTTTTATTTTATTTATTTATTTATTTTTTCTCTGTTTTTGGTTTTGAAGACCCCGGTGCTTTGTTTTCACTTATCTATTTGATTTTCAGTGAGAGCAGACGCTTTTTTTTCTCTTGCTTTCATCGTGCGTAGTTTGCTTAGTTTTGATTTCTGTAGATTTTTATTTGTATGTATATTGAATAATTATTTTTTTTCTAGTCAATAATTAATAGTAAATATTATAGTATTTTAATTATTTTTTTTATAGATTTGAAAATTGTGTAAATGGCTCGGAGAGGCCTCAGCATTGGGTTTCCTTTTTTTCCCTGGTTTCTTTTGTGTGTGGGGGAGTGTAGAATAGCAGGTCTTCCCATGGTGCACCTTAGGTTATGCTAAATCTGCTACAGAGATCAGATTCTACTTTTTTTAAATCATAGACAAAGTATTTTACTGTAATATGTGCTTCACAGCAATGCTCACCTATCACAGCTTGTGCGGCCCAGTGTGTCAGCGGCATCGGACACACCCACAAAATAGAAATAGTTTGTGCAATCTTTGTAAAATTATGCCTGCATACTCTCCTAGGCCTAAATAGACTGCCTACAATTTTTTTTGGTAAAATTCCAACTTTAAAAAGTAGCGTGTCGAAAAGGGTTAAATATGATATTTTAAAAAGGTGCCTATCAGTGTGTCTCAAAATTGATTACGAACAGTAGTAATTTTTTAAAAAAAAGATATTTCGAATGTTCTATAACTAATTCGGCACCCCTCCTAGCTGTTCACCTGAGGCAAGTGTGTCACGTGCGTCACATAATATTAAAAATATATTATTTTCATATTTTCCAGCAGTTCATAAAAGCTTGAAATTTTAAGTTTGGTTCAGGAATATATCTTAGGATGAATTCTAATATTTCTATAAAATTCTTAATTTTAACTATTTTTAAAAAATATTAGTAGTTGATTATTAAATGCAGCTATTTGAAAGTTTCCATTCACTTGTAATTTTTTTGAAGTATTATAAAGTTATAAAACTAATAAAGAACTAAAATTTTAACCATTGGAATGTTTTCAGAAACTATTAAAATGCTGAATATAAATTAAATATAATTTCTTCTAAAGGAAAGCTGTTCCTTTAGAAGAAATTATATTCGACTTATCAACATTATAACTGACTTCAATTGGTTTCTCAGTATAAAGATTTTAACGTGCATTTAAAAATACAAAAAAATCTTTTTTTGTAAAATAATTCCATTGATTTTTTTTTCTTAATGTTTTGTGCCATATTAATGAAAATGTTAAATTTGGGATAGACAACATATACATAACTTTTCATTATGCTTTACTTAGTCAACAAACAAATGCATATCCAGGAAGATGAACATTAGGTAATAAATATAACTTCTGTTATTATCTCCTGTTTGTCACTAAACTCAATACATTTGAAAATAAATTTGAGCAATAGCTATAAAACAAATGCTACATGTTTTGAAAATCAACATTTTGCCAGGTAACATCCTTTCCTAGATTGTGTGTTTTGTCCACAGCAATACCTCTTATTATATTCATAGATGGTGAACATCATATTATATGTTCATGCTGTCGTTTTCTTCACACATCCTCTGTATGAGTTACCATGCATGTATGGTATCTACTTTTGGTGATGGTCAAAGACTCAATCCTGTACATATTAATTTTATTTACACAGTGTGGCCACTAAAGTCCAGTACCACAAGTTCAACTGCCGAACGGCTGCAGGTGCGAAATTGGTGTCTAAGTATAGTAAAGTGGCTATGTGCTATTTGATGAGATAGCTTACAGCGCCACTTGGTGAAAAACGACAAAGTTAGCCTCCATATCTCGGAAATGATACGAGATAGGAAGAAAAAGTGAATTACAAAGTTGTAGAGCATCGTCAATTTAGTACAAATAGACACCTTGCAGATATGACTGCTAAAAACACACATTTGTTTCAGCGCAATTTCCGAAACTGTATTGCCACGAAACTTGAACAAAAAAATAAAGATTATCTCTTAGATGAAAAACATGCACGTATCAAGGCACAGTGATGTCGCTTGTAATTCACAGTCGAGACAACTGTGGTTCAAACTCTGATGAGTGCACCTTTGTACTAATTGTCTTTACAGAGTACACAACATACAGATCGTGCACAATTGTGTCGCAAAATGCGAAGTAAGGCAGAAAGTGCAACCGGAAGATGTTTCATACGGCCTCACATATCCAAACAGCAGCACAAGAGAGAGAAGTAAAAACTGTGGCCCCTCAAAAAGTCGTTTTTGGAAAATCCTAAATGAATCAGGTGCTTATTCATACCGACCAACACCTAATCAGGCATTACTGAATGGGGATCTGAGAGACGTTTTGTAAGGTGCAACTTCTTTATGAACCAGATAGAGGTCCAGCCAACATTCTTGGCAGGTATAGTGTGGACGGATGAGGCATGCTTTTTGCAGAATGAAATGTACAATAGGCAGAACACCCATTACTGGCCCCTGGAAAATCTATCATGTTCTTCAGTTCAATATTTTACCACGGTTCGTTAACGGCTACACAATATTTAGAACTTTTGCAAGACATAGTACCCGATGGAGGAATTCCGAGAACAAATAATCGGGTACGGTGGTTTTGAAGAGTGGCCTCCACATTCAAATGACCTGACCCCAACAGGCTTTTTCCTGTGCAGATACCTCAAACAGCAGGTGTACGTGACTTCCCCACAAACATCACTTGACATTCAACGACGTACTACAGATGTTTGCAGTGCAAATATGTCAGTCGCTATGCTAAAACATGCAACATGAAGTTCTAACAAGGGTCCAGATGGGAATTTCAGCTGATGGAGGGAAGTTTAAAACATTGAAAATAAAGGTAGGCTGTTATTAGTAGTTTTTTTTTTCCCCCTTTCTTTCTAAGATCATGTGACATCACAGTTCTAGAAATCGCAAACAAACAAATGCGCGTTTACAATGTTCTATTCTTAACATTCATGTCCACGAGGTATCTTTTCATACTAAATGGACGATGCTCTAAAACTTTGTAATTTGCTTTTTCTTCCTATTTCGTATCGTTTTCAAGATAGGGACATTAACTCTCCTGTTTCCCACCAGGCAGCGCTGAAAGCTCTCTCATCTAGTAGCGCATAGCCACTTTACTATACCTGGACACCACTTTTATGACTAGCCGCAGCCGTTTGGCAGTTAAACGGGTGGTACCGGACTTTAGTGGGCACCCTGTATAATATTCTATTACAGGCACACTGTAACTATTCAGAAAACTTGGTAATGTAATGAAAATTTATTTTAGATAGTTCAGCATAAAAATTAACAGTTGAAAAGCTAGATGAATTGAAGAAATTTCTGGTATAAAATTATAAAAAAATTGTCATCTTATTTGTAATCAACTTAAATATCAATAGCCTACATTTAAAATTTTATAAGATTTTGCAAAAGAAAATGCATTTTAGACAAAAAAAGTTGACCTAAAAGGCCTTAAACATGTGAAAGTAAATCATTTTATCTGATTATATGAAATTCTACCAATCATTAAAGTTGGTGGTGATTTCAACAAATGTTTACCCATTCTGTAGCATGCCAATAAATGCACAGATTTTATGGGTGCAAAGATTTGGTAATTTAGAAAATATTCCACTGCATGTTCCATTGGAGACAAGTACCAGAATTGAATTATTTCCCCCCCCCCCTTCAAAATGTGAGGTAAAAGCAGATAAATAGCAACTAAACTGGCTTATCAAGAATTAACCAGGTTTACATAAAGCTAAAAAGAATATGACTGCTGTGATATCACTTACCCATTATTGGTACTAATCATATTGTTTGGCAAGTTTTTGTTTGTAAAAATATAATTGACAGTTAAAAGTCCAAATTGGTAATGTTAAAAACACTGCTGTGATTATGTGTTACAACTAGACAAACTCTGTGTCTGTCATGAACTTTTGAATTTCTTGCATTTTTCTGTGCCATGCTAATTTCCATTTCTCATTTTATTGAGGGTCTAATTAGGTCTAATTAGAAGGATGATTCGTGGAAAAATATTAGGGATACAATGGTGTGAAGAGGGGTAATGCAACACCTTCTGAAAGACAGCTGCATAACTGCATTCTCATTTTTGATGTTATAAGTGTGGTTCCGAGTAGTTGTGATATACATACTTTATGATGGCTTTGCTTTATTCTCATTTGCTTAATTTTTCAATTTATGGTTATTACAGATTTCTTGATAGCTGAATGCTAGATAGTTGGGCTTTTACAGTACTAAAAACAATAACGGACTTTTATGCAATATAAAGTAATGCATAAGGTTATTATTAATTATTAAAGTATTTAAATTATAAAAATACTTACAGGTTTGTGCTTTATTTCTGGTGGATGTTTAAATACTGGTCCAAAATTTAAAGAAACCTAAGAACATAATGTAAACTATAAATAAAAAGGGCAGTTTTAAATTGTTTATCAATAAGACAAATTATGAAATTAGTACCTTTAGCTAGTAATATATATATATAAATAGGATAGGGGGAAAAAAAAAAACATATATATATATATATATATATAATTCTTTTCAAAACAACTAAATATTGGTACTTCTAAGACAAAAGAAAAAATTAAAGAAATTTAAAATAATAACAGCAGCAAATTAAAATTAAATGAAATCTCTTCAGGGGTTGGTGCCATGCCTACCCCTGAAGGCATGGCACTAGCCATAATGTTTCAAACTAATTGTGCTTGCAAACTATAAAATAAGCAATTTAATATGGACAAAAATTAAATTCAAATGGACATTGGGAGGGAGGGGAAAAAAAGGGACATTGGGAGGGGGGTAAAAATTAAAGAAATTTAAAATAATAACAGCAGCAAATTAAAATTAAGCAAAACAAGAACTCAATACAGCAAAGCATAAGAGAAGGGAAAAATAATTTTAGAAATAATAAAAAAAAAGATGTTATGTATCTCATGAAATCTCTTCAGGGGTTGGTGCCATGCCTACCCCTGAAGGCATGGCACTAACCATAATGTTTCAAACTAATTGTGTTTGTAAACTATAAAATAAGCAATTTAATATGGACAAAAATTAAATTCAAATGGACATTGGGAAGGAAAAAAAAAAAAAAGAGGAGGGACAGTTTTGTACCTCCAATTCTACTGAATTCACTGACAAAATTTAACTTTTAATTGAAGCATGAACATATGCACACAATGTCAGTTGTACGTCTTTTTCATTTATCTTTTCTGAATGGCCCATTGAAAGGCATATTAACTGTACTTTACTGTATTTTCTTTTGACAAAGTTTTCTTTTGAAAGAAATGCAATTAAAATTAAAATAAATAAAATAAAATTCTCAAAAATTTATATTAATAAATATACTTAAAATACAAGTTTGAATGAATAAAAAGAAAATTTTGAAACAATTATTTAAAGACACCGTGCAACTCAAGCAAAGTGAAATTCTAAAAAAAGAAAAATATATCTAAAAATAACAACTATGATAAAAAATATAATATAAAGAAAATCATTTGAAAGTTTGGTTTATTTGATTATGGCAAAGCACTCAAGGGCTATCAGCCTAATGGGAGGGATGCCTTAGTGGAGAACTTTCTAGGGAAACAGGCTTGTATACAAGCTACATATAGGAAAAACCATGAATACACCCTTGCAGCTAACCTGTTTGCAGGATTTGAGCTTCAGACTTTGTTTATCTACTCAAGCACTATACTACTGACGAGTTTCGGAATACAACAAAAAGAATGCATATGAAAATAGTGACACTGACTTGACTGTTGACTGAAGTACTATTATGAGAATGGTTATGAGCATGGTTGTCATGGTGTGGCATATTCTGAAAATTTGGCAGCTTCCTACTAAGATGGTTACGATAACACATAAGCACCTAATATTTCTAATAAAATAATTTTTCTAATTTCTAATAAACTCTTGCTCAACGTAAACAATTTAAACTGCAAAAGTTATTATAATTATAATTAAAAAAATCCAAATTCTTTTTGGAGAAGGTCTTATTAAATTTTAAAATCTATTTTTCAGACTACAATAATTTATTTAGTTATCATCAGACCTTTGTTTATTTGCAAAGGATATGTAAAATATAGACTCAATTTACAGTATATATGCATGAGAAGGAAAAGTTCTAAACAATAAATAAGAAAATCAAAGCTAAATTCCTAAGCACCATTCCCATTATTTAAGATCTTAACAAAAAAAAAGTAAATAAAATAAAATTCTCCAGTAATATTGTTAGTACTGCTAACAGTCTTTATTTCAAATCCCCTGATACTATACTACTGACGAGTTTCATAGTTGAGGGTCAATTCTTTCTGGATTCTCATAATTTTTTACTATAGAGTGTAGAAATCTATATCGCGCTTCGAGATCTAAGTCACACTTTCAAGACATTTAAAACACAAGTTAAATTTTGCCAATTGGCCCACTAGAATGGGAGATATAGAAATGTTGCACCCTTTATTTTGTGCAGAATGCACACAAAAAAAAATTAACTGTCATTAATGTAACCCAATCCCTACATGACTTTCTTGTACGGAATATTAAATTATATGCATTTTTTTCTTGAATTTAATTTAAATTGATTGGATTGAATTAAATCTACTTCGTCGACAGCACATAAACCACGATAGAATAAATGCACTCTTTAAAATTCACTATATTTGCTTACTATAACGAATGCACAAAATTTATATCATTTGAAGAATTATCGTTGCCACATGTTCTATTCAAATACTATAATAAAGCTAAAACGATGTATGAAAGAAATTAAGCAAACAAAAAGAGAAAAGAAACAGTTTTTCACAGACGATTTAGTATTTCTCATTCAATTAATTCAGTTCTCACTTCGCGACAAGGCAAAAATACATAAAAACTCAAAGTATCTGCATTAAAAATTACGAAGTAAATCTTAAACACTTATTTCCTCGAAAAAAATTTCAGAAAGGATTAAGCGTGATTTAATTCGCAATAATAAATGAAGGCGTTATTTTTGTGTTGTGAAGCTTAGTCTCTCTAGATTGGCAACAAATCTACAATTCTGCTGTTTCAAATGTAAACAAATATGTCCGCCATGTTATTTAAAACTTAACCGCACTTAAACAGCTTTTAAATTGTTGATAATTGTACAAATATTGCTTCCAGAATTACGAAAGGCATACAAACCTTAACCGGAAGATAAAAACAACATAATTCAATCATTTTTAAAGCAAAAATATACAATTTACAAACATATAAAAGTAAAGAAACTGAGATCACTGAGCCGGGTAACAGAGTAGATATATATATAAATATATTTATATACGCAGGGGTGTTTGTGCTCTGGGAAAACCCCGGAATTCCGGGGATTTTGAACTTCGATTCCCGGAAATTCCGGGGATCGTCGTTCAAAAGGAAGTAGGAATAATAATGAATTATTTATTTTGATCCGGGTAATTTTGTTTGCTTTGAAAGCAGAAAACGCAAGGTCAGTGTGTGTGGTGAAAACTTTTCCTTTCTTTCTCCAAAGGCAGTGATAATGCGTGAAAAGGGGAAAAAAACTTCTTTTTTGTTCTTTCCTTATTGCGAGTTACGACTCATTCCCCCGGTTCTCGGACATTCTCTTCTGGATTCTTTTCGGCAAAAGTAGGCGCGGCAGAAAAAAAAGGGAGAGACTTCGTTCGACCAGATGTGCCATCACGTGACTCTGGGTTCAAAGTCTTAGCTCTCCTGACATGGCGCCAGTAAGTAGAGAAGGGGGATTTTTCGCCGTATTAGCTATTTGTCATTGATCGCTTCTCAACTTTTTTTTCTCCGCTCTGTAAAATTTTCGTTTCATTTATTGATGCACGTGTAAATTTTTCGTTTTGTTTATTGAAATATTTTTTATTTATGTATGCAAGAGAATTTCACTATGAAATTCCTCAATATAAACAGTGATATTATACAATTAGAAGAAGGTGTCCTGAATGCATTTAGGTGGAACTGGATTGAACAGAGAGATGGTAATGGGGATACCATCGGCACGTGGTGCAAGAAAATAAATGTTGCTGGACAAGCATGTTGTGTTTTTTGTAACTCACTGCTGAAGTACGGTAGGGAAGGATTCAAGGCTTTCACAAATCATTCTAAAACTGTGACGCACATAAAATATTCAAAGTGCATTAGACATTCAATGACTTTAAGTAATTATGCTAATTCAAAAAATACTGATGACTTACTGGAGACTGATGCTCGGCCATTGGATATAGTGACAAGAAAAGCACGCCAAGAGGTATTAATAACTTCGTTTATTGCCGAGAATTCTCTTTCTTTCAATGTAGCTCCCAATTTAATTGAACTCTGCAAACAGTTGAGCCGCGATCAGACGGCACTAAACTCATTGGAAATGTCCAGGACTACTGCATGTTATAAGATGAAATATGGGCTCGCAAAAACTACTAAGGAAAATATCATTAAAACTTTAAAGGAGACTCCATTTTCTCTAAATTTGGATGAAAGTACTAGCAATGCTCAAGAAAGTATACTGGCAATATCGGTGCAGTTTTATGACAACAATCAAAATGAAGTTGTAGTTCATCATTTTGCATCTCTAAAGATGGAATCTTGCAATTCAGAAGCTGTTTTTAAAGCAGTTGTTAATACTATTGAAGATAATAATATTCAATGGGCAAACTTAATTAGTGTATTAATGGATTCATGTGACACCATGCGTGGAAAAAAAAAGGGTGTTGAAACCAGACTACGATCAAACAAAGCACCCCACTTATTAGATATTGATGGTGACACACGTCACACAGCTAATAACTGTGCAAAAAGATTTGCTTCATGTTTTGATAGATACTTAGAAGATTTGTTTGATGACATCTATTTTGATATGAAAAGCTGCAGTAAAAGAGAAAATGTTTTCAAAATCTGTGAATCCCTTGCCATTAAAAAACTTAAGCTCTTGAAGAGACCAGACCATAGGTGGGTGTACATTTTATGTGTTTTAGAAAGAATCAAAGATCTGTGGGATGCTCTTATTGCATTTTATTTTCACTACTTGGATAAAATTGATAAAGGGGATTATTTTTCTTATGTTGAAACTGTATACAATAAAAGAAATATTTCTGCAGCTCAGAAAAAAAATTGTTGAAGGGGTGTATTCTTACTTGCATTCCCAACAACTCACAAAGGATGCTTTAGCTCGTAAAAAAGAATACTAAATGGGTTATTTGTTATGCAAAACAAAACTTTATTGCATATGGCATTATATTCAGCAGTATTACCAGAGTTCAACACATATATTAAATTATTTGAAACAAAAAAACTAATGCTTCATTTAATACATTTCAGTATTTATAAATTGATGGCAAAATTTTTCTCTTTTTTTATGAAGCCAGAAAATATAGAGTGCACATCTTATAATGATTTATTAAAGGTTGATGTCACAAATCCAGAATTCCATCTACCTAGCAAAGTAATATTTACTGGTGCAGAAGCTTCCACTCTCCTGAAGAAATTATCAAAAAATCATCCAATAGCAATAGAATTCCAAATTTCTCTGATGAAAGCTTATACTAATACAGCACAGCATATGAAACAGAAATTACCCCTTAAAAATTCATATCTAATTAGTTTTACAGCATTAGATCCAGAGCTAAGAGGTAAAACCAGTACAATATTAGCTTTTGAAAAACTATCATCTTTTATGTCCCATATTTTTAGTGATAATGAAAAGTCAAAAGTAGAAGCTGAAATAAGGTTATACCAGAGTCATATTGATATCACCAAAGAAATGCTCTACACATCTGATGAAAGTGGAAATCAAGTCAAGTGTACAATTGATAAATATTGGTCTAAAGTTTTTAATTTAAAAGATGATTTCACAAATGATTATAAGTATCCTACATTGGCTAAATTGGTCAAAGCCTGCCTTAGCTGCTTCCATGGCCCATTAGTGGAAAGTGCATTCAACTTAATGGATACACTTAACACTGACTATAGAACCTCTCTTAAGATTGATTCCCTAGATGCAGTGCAGACTATTAAATATGATTTAATGGCTTCTAAAGAAATCTCATGTGAAAAATATGGCTAAAAAAATCCAATGACTGATCCAATTCACAAAGATCTCTTACTGAATATGAACAGAAGTTGGAAAACATATCAAGAGGACTTAAAAACATGTATTTCAGATGAGTCACCTATAAAAGTCGATGAAAAACCTTCTACATTAGCAGAAAAGCAAACTGCTTCTACCTCTGCATGTGCAATTCTCGAAGAAATTTCTTCAACTGTAAATGAGGAAAATAAAAGTCAACCTTCCTGCAATTATGAGGTACACCACAAAAGAAAGACAAGCCCATAAACATCAGAAAATAAAAAAATAAAAAAAAAAAAAAAAAAGCAGCAAAAATTAGATAATTTTTTTTTAAAGAATTAATTCAGGTAATTTAAAATATTTACATAAAATGTAGTAGTTTATATGTTTGAAAATTTATGGTTATTAATTTTGCAAAAAAAGTAATTTTTATAATTAGGTCATTCAATACTTCATAATTGTAATTTTTCATTTCTCTCCCCCCTTCTCGAAACTCCAAAATGTCCGTAGTAAGTCCGTAAAAGTTTCAGGGGATTTTTTGGGGTCCCACAAACACCCCTGTATACGTTTCGTGTGGCCGATTGCAACCAAAATACGAGGTGCACATCTACATGTTATAGCAGTCCTATATACAAAATTTCAACGTTCTGAGGCTACTCGTTTTTGAGTTATACGTACACACGCCACGAAAAATTCTCTTCAGAATTAATTTTAAAGCAGTTTTACAATTTTTTTTAAAGAAACGAGTCTTCTATTCTGTCCTTACGTACAGATATCACGCAAAAACATCGTTAAATTGCATTCGATATCGGTCAAAATGGATATTTTCGTTGAAATATGCTTGCTGCCTTTTCGCAATTACAATACTTCCTTTTTACTTCGTACAAGGAAGTAAAAACAACACATGGTGCAAGTTATAATACAGTTTGGCAAATACAATTTTGTTTGAACAATTCAATAAATCAACATCAGCAACACAATTTGCATGAGCTTTGAATTTGACAAACAGAAAAGATCTTTATCCTCTGGTTCTGCACCACCTGGAAGCTGTGCCTATTATCCACCTCAGCAATGAATGACTCATTACTAACATTAGAAATAGCTACATTGCTGTGACTGTTTTGCTGTTGTTCTGTAAGCTATCACTGTTTATACTTTGGGTTACACTGTGCTGGTCTCCTTTCCCTTTATTTTTATATCAAACGTTCTTTTTTATAATAATATTATATAATGTTTCATGGATTATTGGTAGGTTCTACTACAGTCATCCCTAATTTGCCTCAAAAATATGTATAATTTCATAAAATTCTGCTTTTGTAGCATATTTTTGTAGTTTTTAAAAATTCTGCAAGAAAGCACAGTTTGAAAAATTGTAATGATAATCACAATACTGATTATTGATAACAAAACACACTAGTTAGCAAAATGCTTAAAAGCATGAAATACTGAAATTATTATGAATAATAAAAGCATACTGACTAGCTAAATACCAGTAACAAGAACAAGCAATAAATTTATCAAATTTTTTCAAAAAACGAATTCATTCTGAATGCAGCTTACATTTTATACAAGCACTCTTCATGCATTTGCAATTTTTTTATGGAAATCCCAACTAAAGATTGAAATTAAACAACTATTCACATAATAATATTAATTATGGTTTATATACCAACACTTAAAAATTTTAAAATTATGTACATTTAAAAAATAACAGTTATTTTGAAATAGAACATACAGTAACACTTTTATACAAAGACACAGCAGGATAATATGTCCCAGCATTGATATCTTCAAAGGCAGGACTTAAATTTTTTCCATTCTTGTAAAATATTATCTGAAAATAAATATTGTTCTCTAAATAAGTAAAGTATTAATGCTTTCAGAAATTAAAGACGTAAAGGAAAAAAATGTGTAAAATTTACCTTGCTTCCAGGTAGAGGTTTCATGTTTTTTAGTTCCAACTGTACTTCATCTTTTTCTTCATAATATAAGTAACTTTTGAATTTCACAAGGGGCTGCAATTATTTAAATTTCTAGTAAATTAAATATATATAAGATATATATATAAAGTAATATATAGAAGATTAATACACCGCTTTAGGAACACTAACGTTTTTTGACAAAACTAATGATAAATACTGTTTAAAGAAATGAGATTTGGCGCATATTTAATAAAGATCCTAAAGCAGTGTTATTACCCAAAATGGTTAAATATTCCCACATGAAAAAATAAGGTAATCAAAAGAAAAAAATATGCTACTTTCAGCAGTTAAGAAAAATTATTATTCTGATCGAAATTAAAAACAAATATCAGTCAACACAAAGGGATATCCTGAATTTTCACAAAAGACATGCTGCTTAATGCCAGATTTAAAAAAAAATTAACATGGAGGAAAAATAATTATCAGTTGCACTAAATTCATTGGTAAATAATGAATATTCTCTCTTTGTAGTTCTAATGCAACAGCATGCAGTGCATATTGTCCTTCACATTGTAGTAGAGGAGGAGAGAAAGGGAAGAAGTTTACTTTGTTTACCTTTCATCGATCGATGCAGTAGTTCATTTGCATGCACTGTCTTCTTACAGTGGTGGATGAGCAGAAAGAAAGACATAATAGCAAACAACTCATTTCATTTTGAACTTCTAGTATTAAAAGCTGATGATTCACTGCATAACTACAGAGTAAGCGCAACTCGTAAGGATTTTACTATATGAATGCATTAAGAAATAATAATTATATTTTTCCAATTCTAATTTATAGGCATGTGGCACATGCACTGACACAATGCCCCTGAGTTCACCATTATGGAGGAACACTACCTCATACATTGATGAACGAACATCGAAGAGCAATTACATTATGACCACCCTCCATCTATAACAGTGGGCTCACCCAGTAACTAAACCACTGCACGTGCTCTGCTGATGTTGAAGTATATAAAGTGGCTATACACTGTCTTTCCAAACATAGTGGAATTAGCAACATAATGGGAAAATCAGCTGATTTATCAGACTTTGATAAAGATTAAATCGTTATGGCTCGGCAACTGGGAACATCAATGACAGAAAAGGCGCATTTAGAGGGCTGTTCACATAGTTGTAATCGAAAGTGGTGTACGGATGGTGAAACAATAAGTCATTGGCCAGCAGTGTGCCACTGATGGCACATTTGATTTCAGAGGAGAGCAGAAATTACTATGCAATGTTCACCATGACCGAAGAGTTACAACAGCCGAAATCACCACCAGCTACAACAGTGGCGACCCAAACAGTGTTTCTCAACACACTGTGCAGCGTACACTGCTGCGTATGGACTTATGCAGCTGGAGGCCAAAGCAAAAGCTGTGTCTGCAATGGGACAAGAAACATCGAAATTGGACATTAGAAGAATGGAAGAAAGTTACATGGCCGAAGAATCACGTTTTCTGATCCATCACATCGACGGGCGTTTTCCAAACAAAACCCTGGCTCCCGGATGAACAGCTGGATGGAGACAAGCCGGTGGGCGGGGGTAAGTGTGGGTAATGTTTTCATGGAGCACATTAGGTCCCATAATCCCTATAGAACAATCCCTGATGTCTGTGCACTATGTGAACATCCTTGCAGACCAAGTTCACCCATTCATGACAACAGTAATTCCGCCAGGGGATGGTATTTACCAACACACCATGTCAGGAAATAGCTTGAGGAATATTCCAGCAACTTTCAAGTCATGTCTTGACCTCCAAATTCACCTGACATTAATCCAATACGCGTTTGCGGTCTCACCTGGAAAACCAAAGTCATGTTGCCACACTGGAAAACCAAATTCCCTCGCAATATGCGGGAATTGCAGGACCAGTTAGTGAGTGCTTGGTATCAGATACCTCAGACTACCTATGAGACTATGTGGACGCAATGCCATGCTGGGTGGTTACAGTTCTGAGGGCTAAAGGTGGTCCTACATGTTATTAATAGGGTAATCATAATGTAATGGCCCTTCAGTGTATATGATCTATTATTTAACTGTTGAGGAGAGATTGGGAGATTTAATCTCATTCGTCTTTCAGGGTGATTTTGTGTTCCTGCATGGTACAAAGAAGATTCTATCTTTGAGCAATATGCCTGTCCAGTGCATTCTAGTTATACTCTAGAGCAGGGGTCCCCAACCTTTTTGACTCTAAGAGCACATTCTAGAGTATATGTTGGAAGGCAGGCACCATTTACTTTTTCAAGTTGAATTTATAGTTGAATAGAGTTAATAATACATGCACATAAAAACAGAGATCAGTCGCATTTCACTTAGTGCTGGTATGGATGTTGGATACAATTTTTACTCCATTACAAATGAGAAAACTTTCACATAGAATTTTATTGAAAAGTAAAACATTTTTACTCTGATTGCACAGCGTCGGGTACACGTTAAACAATGGTGCCTGCAGGCATAGGGTTGGAACTTTAGAGGTTTTAAGTTTAGGGAATATGCAGCCCATATCATGCACTCAATATCTTCCCTGCCAGTTATTTCGGCTGTCTTAGAGAGGTAAGCACCGTAATCCATGAACATAAAATCTTGGACCAACTGCACCATGGAGAAGCCTACATGATCCAGGAGTATTTCAGTGCAAAACCACTATGGTATCTTTGTACCTCTATCAAAGATGTGAAAAGGAGTTCTGCAATTACTCATGATACCCACCTACACATGCACTTTTATTGTACAGGGTGTCCATAACTTATTCACTGACTAAAGATATGTCTTAAATAATACAGAATAAGAGATAGGGAAAAAAGTCTGACGGAATTTTATTCACAATTCAAATAATTTTACATTAATATACTTCAATATGAGAACCATTAGTTGGACAGAAAATATAGTCTTTTCTTGATTTCCTTCCCAATGTTATTAAGCATTTGGGAACTCATTTATTTCCATGGTGATTCAATTTTTTAATTCTTCAATGTCGTGAATCTCTGCAGCATAAAATTAGTTTATTCAGGTGTCTCCAGAAAAAGAAGTCGACTGATATGATGTCTGGGAAACGGGATGTTCATGAAATTGGTCAACCTCTACCAATTCAACGATCAGAGAATATTTCATCAAGGAAATCACACACATATAAAGCCGATGACATGGGTCCTACCCTGTTGTAAAAGAAGTTTGACTGCATTTCTTCTAATTGCAATACAGCACAAACAATCTAAGTATATCAAAGTAAATATCTGCATTAATTAATGTCTCGGAGAAAAAGAAGGGACAAACACTTTGTTATGAGTTAGTGCACACTGATTTAGGGCTACCTCATTCAATTTCCCTTGCACAATGCAGGTTTTCTAATTTCAAATTCCTGCAGTTAAGCCAATTTAACCTCTCCTAAAACATGAATGATTTTCTGAAGAAACTGATCTTTATTACTGATATGGTCAAAAGTGTCTACAGAAAATTCCTTACAAATGACTCATGACATGATTTGACAAATCTGCAATTTATATGTAGTCAATTTCAACCATTCAAAAACAATTTTATGAAGAGTTGAGCTGGCAATTTATGTTTGTAGGTTCCCTCTTGCAAGCCTACAAACTGGAATGGATAGGAAACTCTTGCCTAAATGGATTTAATGGGACTGCACACAAACTCATCTCGAATAATGGAAACAATTTCGTCACAGACTTCTGTTTATCTGCACCTTCTTTATGAAAACCTTTCCAGTCTACTGAAACCATTCTACCTAACTTTTAATTGATTATTAAATTCATGTAGGAAACACCTTTGAACTGCTTTCGCAGATTTTGTTTCTCATAACTAAAGAATGCATATTGTTTTTCACTCCATCACACCATATTGTCTGTAAACAAACAAGTTCTTTATTGCTTTCCCAAAATTAAAACAAATGAAATTCCTTGAACTAAAGGTTATATCGATATAACTTACTTCTAGTTACTTCATAAAATTACTTTTTAATTTTATTTCGTCATGTGCTGATCATATTACGGAGACCTTGTATTATCAGAATAACCTGTATTATTAGCAGGCCCACCAGCGGCCGAGCGGTAAAGTCGCTGAACACTAGAGTTCGGTCCGAGGTTCGAATCCCGCGAACGGGTTGGCTGCATGGGCGTTTTCGTGGTTTTCCCCATGTGTAACGTGTATACGAGCCAGTTTTCCTTAGAAAGTCCTCCACGAAGGCATCCCTCCCCTTAGGCAGATAGCCCTCGAGGCTTTGCCATAATCACACACACACACACAGTATTATTAGCATGAAGAATAACCTGTGTTATTAGCATGAAAAGCAATTTAGACTGTATTAGACTGATTTCCAAATCCATCTTTTTCTACATTCCACCCCATTTCATATCATAAGTAACAAGATGTTTTGTACATTAATGGAAAAAGAATTATGCTAGAGAGAGAAATCCATATAGATGAAAGATAAAATATAAACTTAGCATAGATCATTTATAAATTTTTGTAGAAAATAACAGCCTGAAATTAAATGTATATATATTATAAAATACATTATAAAAGTATAATAATGTATATATATTTAATTATTATATCTTATCATATAATAATTATGCTTCCTACATAATTATTATATGATAAGCTTAATTATTATATGATAAGCTTCTCATCTTTTTTAAATGATTCTAATACAGAAGGAGAAAAAGCCCCATTCCTTCAATTTAAGACTAAAATGCATAAAAAAAATATTCAGCTTACTTTATCTTTGTATATTGGAGGCAGTGGTACTAAGTTGTCAGTTTCAGGAAGATGAATAAGAAATCCAAGAGTATCACCTTGTCCATAGCCTTCATCACTATAATGATAACCCCTGCTTTCATGAAACTTTGTGCCTTTACGGGAGCGCCATGAATAGCTGAATTTATCATATCCTAAAGGTCCTTGAAGATTAGCTGTCAATGAAAATATGAAAAATTTAAGTTGCTTTAAAAACAGATTGCAAAAAGATTTTATATTCGTAAATTTATAATTTCCCATTTTCAGATTCCACTGTCTTTTTGAAAATAATTATTTACAAACATAACAATAAACATATAATAAATATTCACATTGCAGAAATATACTTTGGTATGAAATACAACACTTGATTACTTTTGTCCTCCCTCCTATACTGTATAAAAATTAACTACATCAAAATTATTCCAAATACTATATTAAAAAAATCTGATGCATATACTACGACTTCTTTGTGATGAATATTAAATTATATGCATATTTTGCTGCTTTTAGTTTAAACTTATTGAATTGAATTAAATATACTTGCATTTACTACAACAGAATAAATGTTTTTTTTTTTTTAAACTTCGCTATTATTTATCTATCACAGCGATACTCTGGCATTAGGTTCACTTAACAGTGTTACATCTCATTCATTTTACAACGCAGAATGCAAAAAAAGTTATATCTAAAGAATTATCTAATCGTTGCCATATGTTCTATTCAAATACTATCTAAAACAATGTATAAAAGAAATTAAACAAATAAAATATAAACAGTTTTTCACAGACAATTCAGCACTGCTTACCTAATATGCATGCATTACTCGTAAACATTCTCCTTTGTCTGAAACAAACTGGCGACAGTATTTTCTGCTAATATGAAACACTTATTTCTTCGAATTTCATTAGAGATGTATTTCTCATTCAAATAATTCAACTCTCACTTTGCAGCAAGGCAAAAGTAATAAAATCACAAAATATTTTCATTAAAATTTAAAGATATAGAAAAACAACCAAATACAATCAATACAGTTAAAAAAAATTTTTTTTTTTTTAATTTTTAGAATTAAAATTACAGTTTTATGCAAAGCAAGCAATTCGGCCAGCGGGCAAGAAGACAGATTTTTCAGTGTATAAAACTGAAATTGCACTTGTCTAAAAGACACTGAATGCATAGAAACTGATTTAATTTGTTGTGGAAGCTATGCAGAGTTAATATATGCGATAACTTAAATGATAATTCCTGAATGGATTAAGCATAATTTAATTCACAATAATAAAAGAAGATGTTACCCATAAGCTTAGTTTCTCTAGATTGGCAACAAATCCACTATTCTGCTAAGTTTAAAATGAAAACAAATATGGCTGCTATGGTAAAAAAATTACGCTTAAACGTACTTAAAAAAATTATTTTGTTTGTTTTTTAAATTGTAGATAATTCTATAACTATCACATGCAGATTAACTAAAGAACCTTAACCGGAAGATAACAACAACATAATTCAATCATTTTTAGGGCCCACCAGCGGCCGAGCAGTAACGTCGCTGAACACTGGTAGTTCAGTCCGAGGTTCGAATCCCGCCAACGGGCTGGCTGCATGGGCGTTTGTGGTTTTCCCCGTGTGTAACGTGTACACGAGTCAGTTTCCCTTAGAAAGTCCTCCATGAAGGCATCCCTACCTTAAGGCAGATAGCCCTCGAGTACTTTGCCATAATTTAATAAACCAAACCAATAATTTTTAAAGCAAAACGTGCACAATTTACAATCATGTAAGACTAAAGAAACTGAGGTGAGTAACAGAATATATATATATACTTTTGGTGCGGCCAATTGCAGCCAAAAAGGGAGATGCATATCTACACGTTATAGCAGTTCCGCATACAAAATTTCAACGTTCTGACGCTATTTATTTTTGAGTTATGCGAGATACATACATACATACAGACAGCACGAAAAAAATCTCATTTGAATCCATTTTAAATCAGTTTTAAAATTCACTTGGGAGGGGGACGAATCCTTTATTCTGTTTTTACGTATAGATGTCACGCAAAAAAATCATTAAACTGCATTCAACAGTGATCAAAAAGGATATTTTTGTTGAAATATGGTATCTGGAATTTTTTGTGATTATAATACTTTCTTTACTTCGCACAAGGAAGTAAAAAATCAGTAAATAAACTTTCTCAAGTTTTAATTTGTTTATAAAGAAATTGCTTAATGAAATGTAACTGAACTCTGAATTGAAATCAATAGCTTCTTTAACTAAAAATAAAATTACATGCTGAATATCTGTATCTGGTTTTCAGATTCTGTCATTTTCATTTCTGTTCTACGTATTCAAATTAGATTATTATACTGCATAATATTTCCATTATATCATGAATTAAACATTACTTATTTTTACAATAAAAGTTAGAAAATTTTTTAAAAGATTGTATTTCTTGATTTAAAACAAGTAATAAAAGTACCTAAAGGTTGGGACCAACCAAGACGTGTAGCAGCTCCATCTGGCATGTCCTCTATAGTGCATTCAAAATACCAAGTGCCTCTATTTACTCCTAAATATTAAAATAATAAAAAAATTTCAAAAATTACAAGTAGTATTAAAGAAAACTTTTAAGACTGCATAATAAAATTAAATAAAGATTTTCTCTTTACCATGTGTGGCTCGAGCCATGCAGTATCCTTTTTCACCAGTAACTGACAACCTATCCTCCGATACCTTAAGTTGAGGAGCTACAAATTTTTATTAGCTTGTATCAAAATAAAAATCAGCAAAACAAAATTTCTTTGATTAAATACTGTATAATGAGAACAGTTATTTATAAACAATTTTGATTAAAAAAGTAAAGATTAAGTCAACACATAAAACAATAAATTCTTACTGATACATTATAAATTTCAAGAATTTTACTTAAAATATGTAGCAATATGCTTAATGTACCTTTTCCTAATTTATAATTGGTTCTAAGTTTTCATTTAACTTATTTTATATTATAAAATATCTGGGTAAATTTATATCTATTTTATTCAAAATCTTAATCATTCTCAAGAAATTCTAATAATTAGATCAACTTTTCGAAGTTCAGCCGGTTCAGACTACAGGTTTTTCAATGAAAACTTTTTTGACAAGATGAAATTTTTCAATAATTAAAAATATTTTTCAATATAGAAATGCTAAAACAAGTATAATTTTTATCATATTGATAAAAATTAAACTTAAATCCCCCCACAAAACAAAAGATTAAAATGCTTTTGTAAATCTCTAAAATGCTTTGCTTTTGTTTATTTTTGTAATTCCCTAAAATTTGCATGAAATTCCTTTAACACAGGATGAAGATTTTTCAATATAGAGATGCCAAAACAAGTATAATTTTAATCATATCAATAAAAATTGAACTTAATAATCATCCCCAAAAATTAAAATGCTTTGCTTTTGTAACTCCCTAAAATTTGTTTGAAATTCCTAATGTTTCACACTCTCCTGGGCTCTGAAGTTTTAAGTACACTTCAAAAATATGGGAGAGAAATTTTACATAATGCTTTTTAAAACTTTGTACATGAAACAAAGTTTACATAAACTGTAAAATTGGAAAACAGATCAGTCCCCACCTTAGCAACATTACCTCATATCTAATTTTGATTTTATATGCAACTGATAAGGAATCATTTTTTACACTTATCCACAAATTAACAATATTACATGAAATTAATAAGGATAGTAATAAACACACAGTATAGCACAGTATCAGTAAACTAGCTATACTAAATGTTGAAGACCAGCAATAACAATGATGCCTGAATTCTGAATAAAAGTTTACACAATTTTCCTTGATGAAAAAAAACTTCAGAAATAACTGAGAGTACTAAAGTAATTTATGGCTGCAGGAGGCATTCTGCCAAATGGTTCCTTGACATACGTAACATTGGTTTTTGATTTAAAAGCTTGTACTGATTTGATTTTCTTAGAATGAATTTTATAGCCTTGTTCGACATAAAGATGTGTGGACTTTTTTGTTCATGGCTGTATGTTACATCAATATGACAGTTTAATTATTTTGTCACTCCTACTAATAGTTGGTACTGTTCTGTTATCAGGACCGGATTCAGAAATGTATATATCACATGCCCGGATGGATGAATGCATGGATGGATGTGTTCATGTTCGCACATATATACGTAAGTATGAATTATATGTGTGCATACATATAATATGCATACAATTCATTTCTGAATCTGGTCATGATAACAGAACAAACAGTACCTAACGGTTTTCATATATTTTGAAAATGTTTTATCTTCCTTTTTTTCCCGCCTAGGAAATAAATTGTTGAAAAGCATGTAAAAAGACAGAGATAATTAAAAAATAACTTTTCACACTCTGTTAAAAAATTAAATAAAATAAAAATAAGCTTTTCTTGAAAATGTGAAGCTTTTACATAAATAAATAAATTAATTAATAATTTAACTTTTCTCTAGCACAGTAATTTTAAGATATGGTCTGTAGGTACCCCAGGATTTGTAAATTAATTGCCAAGGTTTGCAAGTTACTTTAAAAGTAAAAATGCAATTTAATTTACATCAGCTATAAAAAAATGTGCATACAATGCAGAATGTACACCTACACAAGGACAAATTTCTCCTCTGAATTTAAATATTACTTTTTTCTAAGACTTAAGATTTTAGTTATTATAAATAATTTACCTAAAAATGAAACAGCATTACCTCTGTCATGTAAAGCTATTAAAACATTACTAGGCGTAAGCTTCCTATATAGCCATCCTGGAATAGGTTTGCCAGCCCAATCTTGACTTTCATCAAACTCCTGACGAAATGGAGCATGGGGATCAGGTTCAGCAAGAATATATCTGTAGCCATCTTTATTAAATGGATGTTCTAGAGGGTAACCATTAGGTGGTAGCTTGGGCATAACTAAATCACTTAAGGATAGAAAATTGGGTTACTTTAGCATTTAAATGTAGAAAACAAAAATCAAACTCTTAACAAATAGTAATATATAAAAATAATGCCAAGCAACATAAAAGAATGTAATAACTGCAATTTTAATGTCAAAACACTAGCATAAGATCACAGACAATAACGATAATCATTATTAGAACAACAGTAATTTAAATAAAAAAATTTTAAAACTTTCTTCAAAGTTTTCAGTTCTTAATTCATTAAATATAATGCTTGTTGATATAATACTTCATGTATAAATATAAGAATGTACTTATTCCAAATTTTAGTTACTTTACACAGTAAGATACTATACACTTGCAGATTTAGTTACTTTACACTTGCAAGCTCACCTTTTTACTTTTTTTCCAGTGCCGGACATTTGACTGTCGAAAAATTTCCTTTTACTGCTACGTCCTTTGCTGCCAAAAGCTGATCCTGTTACAATAATAAATTATTAAAAAACTAGGAAAAAAGTCGATTACTTCAAAAATAATACAATTCACTTACATATTACATCCCTCTCAAATTTCATTTGCAATTACAAAGTATACAGTTTCGACAATGTCTACAACATTTAAGTAAAAAGTAAAGTTCAAAAGTAAATGAATTAAAGAAATTTTGTAAATTACACATCATTTAAAAAGTTTTGATTTCAGAACGTGATCAAAGGATTTCAAAAGGAAAGAATGATTTGTAGATCCATTAGAATACGACAATCTTCATGCATATTTACTGTCAGCAATTGGCTACTGAGTTGAGAATACTTCACAAAAAGTGGGTGCACAAAAATTTTGCAATGTGTTTGTGATCAAGTATATTATCAAAAGTGTCTGCTAAAAGTTATGGCATCCATTTCATTTTATGTAGCAATTACAATAACTATGAGAAATTAACCCCTTAACTGCTGCGGAAAACGTACAAGATTCATTTCCCAGTGCCACGATTTTTCACACAGGCCCGTGTAGTTATGCGATGTATTAAGGGGAAAATAAGTGCAAGTTTTACTTTCTAAAAACTGTTTACTTTCACAAAATAAGGAATAAAATAAAAAATGAATGCACAAAATTTAATGTTTTGAGTAAAAGTATAACAAAAAATTGTAAGTATAATAAAAATGATGTATTTATAATAAAAAAATCTGATGTGTTCACCACGACTTCCTCGTACAGAATATTAAATTATAAGCATTTTTTCTTGCATTCCGTTTAAACTTATTGGGATTTAATTAAATCTATTTCGCTGACAGCGCATAAACCACAATAGAATAAATGCATTCTTTAAAATTCACTCTATTTGTTTACCATAGCGACATTCTGGCGCTAGGTTCACTTAACAGTATTATATTTCATTCATATTATAACTCAGAATGCACAAAATTTATATCATTTAAAGAATTATCCAATCGTTGCCACATGTTCTATTCAAATACTATAATAAAGCTAAAACGATGTATAAAAGAAATTAAGCAAACAAAACAAAAAAGAAACAGTTTTTCACAGACGATTGAGTATTTCTCATTCAATTAATTCAGTTCTCACTTCACAACACGGCAAAAATACATAAAAACTCAAAATATCTGTATTAAAAATTACGAAATAAATCTTAAACACTTATTTCCTCAAAAAAATTCCAGAAAGGATTAAGCATGATTTAATTTGCAATAGTAAATGAAGGCATTATCTTTGTTGTTACGAAGCTACGTTCCTCTATATTGGCAACAAATCCACTACTCTGCTGTTTCAAATGTAAACAAGCAATGGCCGCCATCAAAAAAATTATTAGGCTTAGCGGCACTTAAACAACTTTAAAATTGTTGATAATTCTAAAAATAATGCATACAGATTTACTAAAGGCATAAAAACATTAACTAAAAATAATGCATACAGATTTACTAAAGGCATAAAAACATTAACCAGAAGATAGGAACAACATAATTCACAATTTACAAACATATAAGAGTAAAGAAACTGAGATCACTGAGCCGGGTAACAGAGTAGATATATATATAAATATATTTATATACGTTTGATGCAGCCGATTGCAACCAAAATACGAGGTGCACATCTACATGTTATAGTAGCCCTATATACAAAATTTCAACGTTCTGAGGCTACTCGTTTTTTAGTTATGAGAGATACATACGTACGTTCGTACAGACGCCACGAAAAATTCTCTCAGAGGTCATTTTAAAGCAGTTTTATAATTCTTTTGGAGGAAAAGAGTCTTTTATTCAGTACTTACATACAGATATTATGCAAAAACATTGTTAAATTGCATTCAAAAGCGGTCAAAATGGATATTTTCGTTGAAATATGCTGCCTGAAACTTTTCGAGATTACAATACTTCCCTTTTACTTCATACAAGGAAGTAAAAAGATCCCTAAAATGGAGTTTCGATCATTTCATTTTTAGACCAGTAAAGTGTAATATCAGGTTTCAGTGTTATACCTTGTGAAATCAGTATGCCTAAAAAAATACATATTTTTTCTGCACTGGTTGAATGCCACGATTTTGTTCTTGATTTTTCGTTTGCAAGATGTTGGTTCATATACTCATCTACAAAATGGTTAGTTTCAGTAACAATATGAAGCATGAGCAGTTCATCAAAAAATAATTCAAAAAAGATAAATGGGTTTGAAACATTCATTATATCTTTCTTTATTCCTGGAACCTACTACAAAAAGTAAATGAAAACAGAGGACACAGAATAAAAAAAAATATGTTTTACTCAAACAACACCAGTCAATACCGTGCAGTCATTACTTTCATCACTTGAGACCACCCCTCTCTCCAATTTCTCCCCACACTTCTCTGAAATAGTATCCTCCTTCGCATACTTTGTCAAGGTCTTTGTGGTGTTGTATTTCAAAGCTTTGCAAATAATTTTACAGGTAGCAGCGCAAAGCAAATGCTAGTAGTTTGGAAGGGCGTATATATACGCCCGTGGCAGTTAATGCATCGGCTGAGCAAGGCTATATATACACCCGCGGTAGTTAAGGGGTTAAAATTCTGTCAGTGATAATGCTTTTCAAACAAGTGAAAGAAGTTCTGCGCTTCTGTAGAGGCAAACCCTCACATTTTTCACTCTGAATTCCATTTCGACAATGACAACACACATTGGCCAGTTTTGAAGTTTTCGATCTAGTGTTACTCTTGCACATGTGAATGAAGGCTTAAGACATGTTTGGTAACTTTTCTTACATACATGCCTGATCGGCACTACCATTTCACTAACAAGTCGTCCTTGTGCTTCTTCATATAATTTATTATTTTTCATACCTGTGAAAATGTTTAATATTCGTTATTAAGATTTTCTGTGTTGAATACGCTGCTAGGAGGAAGAAGCATTCCTGATTACAGTTTTCAATTCAGTGGGAAATTCTTTATGCCATAGTCCTGAGATCGATCAAGCAATACATTTTGTTAACATAAATGCACATTTTTCATTCCTTTCATCTCAAATACTATAATATTCTGCAAGCATGAAGTCGAAATTTAATTAGTGACTTTTGCAATTTTACAAAATTTACTTCCTTTAAGGTGCTGCTCTACGATGAGGAACTCGCGAATGTTAATTTGTGGCTGGTGTTATGTAGGTTTTTTGTGATTAAATATTTATCAATACAGTTTTAAGATTCTGAATAAATATGTGTTTCACATGTGATGATATTATGAATTCTTTTTGGTACTATACATGGGTAATATTTATCTTTTATGTAATTTTAGATTATTAAGGCACACCAAAATCAGAATTTTAACATTCTGCTTTATTTAGGCTATTGCAGCAGCAATGCATAAAAATAATTCAAATATCTATCCATAAATATTTCACTAGCAGTTTTGCTACTGAGACTCTCAAATTTAAAACATTTTTTACAATCTTTCTTAATAATCTCTTCCTTTTAGCTTACTACTGGCTTAAATTTTACAACAGCTTCACTTTACAAGTTAATGTTAAATAGCTAAGACTGCAACTACTTCTTTAGACATCTACATGTGTTCAACATTCAAATGAATTCATATATGTACAAACATAAATCATTAACTAATTTATTCGAAATATATATATATATATATATATTTTACATGCACACACATATGAAAAAGAAATTTTGTAATCAATCTATTTAAAATGCCCATAGCTTTTTATCCTTTTAAAATTAAAAAAAAAAAAAAAAGATTAAAATAAAAGTTTATTACAAAATGTGATTAAGGCATATTATGATTACAATAACCTAGCAAATGATATATTTTCTTATATTTGATAAGCAATGGCTTTTCATGATACATAAAGATACACATAAAATGTTCCAAAACATATTTTTAAATCTTCTTTCATTAACAAAAATAATTTACAAAATCTACCTTTAACTAATATTCTAATAATTGAAATTATAAAAAATTTCCCAATGTAAACATTTTGCTCAGTGGCAGATGAGCTTCATTTGAAGGATATAATCATATCAATCTCTCAACCTAGCATTACAACTAAAACAATACGCTGTTTAAATGGGAAAAATTACTTTTGAACAATTTTCATTTCCTGTTTCTAACATGCACATCTGCTGAAACTCATACATATAAAATAGATGAGATGAGTTTCCAGAAAATCTAACAGTATAAGTGAATGCAAACACTAAAAAATTACATGAAAAAATATGATGTGTACACCACACGACTCCCTTGAATGGAATATTAAATTATATGCACCTGCATTTAACTTAAACTTATTTCCTCCTTAAATCTTCCTCATTCCTTCCTTAATCAAATTTCATTAGAGATATATTTCTCATGCAATTAATTATGTTCTCAGTTCATGGCAAGGCAAAAATACATAAAATTTCAAAATACCTTCATTAAAAATACTAAATACAGTTAAAACAATAAAAAAATACAATTAAAATTAGAGTTTCTATGCAAAAACAAGCAATTCGGCCAGCGAGCAACAAGGTAGATTTTTCGGTGCACAAAAAATGAAAGTTAAATTTTGGTCCAGATTAATAAAAATGAAAGTTTAATTTGGCAAAACGACACTGAAGGTGCAGAAACTAAATTCATTATTCTGCTAAGTTTCAAATGTAAACAAAAATTAGGCTTAGCCGCACTTAAACAACTTTTCAAATCAAAATCGTAAAAACAACCTTGTATTTAGCGTAGGTATAATGAAACACTCAATCGATTTCGAGGGCAGCTAAAGGTCCCTCCTCATCAGGAGAAAGAAATACCTAGAAAGAAGAAAATAAAGGAGAAGGAGTCACAGAAACACGTGGTCCTTATCAGCACTGCACGTGGTTATAACTAGATTTTTAATCAGAGCTGCACTGGCTGCCTACTTTTACTGAGTCAGGCTATCTGATCGAGCATGAAAAATTAGCGCAGTTAAAATAGGGAGCGAGGGGCAAATGCACCTTACGCTCAAAATCTGAACTTCAAATAATGGAAAGCAACCACTGAACGGATTTTTATACCCTCTGGTAGTACCAAACGCGAGGAGGTAACGCCATCTATCAGCATAAATAACTGAATTAAGATAGTAGAATTTTAAAGGCTTCAATAGCATATCATAGTTGGACTTTTAACCATAATTTTGATTTTGGATCTGCAAAAATTAGGCTTCTTCCATAGGTGAATTGCATTTTCTTGAGGCTTTTCACATTCACAAAGATTTAGCAGGTTTAGTTAATGATTTGAAGTCCAATCCAGTCCTTCCTAATGCCTTTAAAATTCTACTATCTTAATTCAGTTATTTATGCCGATAGATGGCGTTACCTCCTCGCGTTTGGTACTACCAGAGGGTATAAAAGTCCGTTCAGTGGTTGCTTTCCATTATTTGAAGTTCAGATTTTGAGCGTAAGGTGCATTTGCCCCTCGCTCCCTATTTTAACTTCACTAATTTTTCATGCTCGATCAGATAGCCTGGCTCAGTAAAAGTAGGCGGCCAGTGCAACTCTGATTAACCCCTTAACGCATCTGCCTGTGTTTCCGGCAAATTTGCACATGCCCGTGTCTCACACGGGCGCCCTTGTATCTCGCGTTATTTTATTTCTAATGCTTGTCTGAGATCCGTTCCAGTAAAAATAAATAGGCTAGATTATAATTAAACTTATTTGACATAGATGGCACCACTATTCAGCATTTTTCTTGTGTAAACCACGTGGCGCATTTTGATGATTAGCTATAAGTTTGCTAGGAATTCTTTGCTATAAAGTAGTCGTTTGGTGTGGAAAAGGTAATATATCCATTTTTATTACGTAAATATAATAAAAAGTAAGCAGTTAACTGCACAAATTAATATTACTAAGTGTTTTTGTAATTTAAAAAAAGTTATCTGATAATGAGCGACTCTGACGATGACATGATTTTGAATATGCCAATTTATCAGACAGTTTTTTCAGCGATTGAGAGTGATGATTTCTTGAAGTGATGGAAGTGAATCGGAAGATAATGACAACGAGATTTTGGATATAGCAAGAAAGGAATTGGTATCAAAATTAGTATAAATCAACCAAACGTTGCACCACCGAGATTTCGATTTGAAGCTAACCCTGGCATGATTATGCAAGAAAAAAAATAGGTGATTTTTTGACCAAAAATTAGAAATTAATGTGTGCCTTAAGGGGTTAAAAATCTAGTTATAACCACGTGCAGTGCTGATAAGGACCACGTATTTCTGTGACTCCTTCTCCTTTATTTTCTTCTTTCTAGGTATTTCTTTCTCCTGATGAGGAGGGACCTTTAGCTGCCCTCGAAATCGATTAAGTGTTTCATTATACCTACGCTAAATACAAGGTTGTTTTTACGATTTTGATTGTCACATTAGCGTGTTTCTCTTCTAGTCTAACTTTTCAAATGTTGATAATTCTACAACTATTACATGCAGATTAACTAAAGGCATAAAAACCTTAACTAGAAGATATGAACAACATAATCAATTTTAAAGTAAAAAATGCACAATTTACCATCATACAAGAGTAAAAAAAATGAGGGTAAAAGTTTACAATTGGGTGCCTTTGTTTATTGGCGATTCTTTTTTGACGCCAAGATCAGCACCAGGTAGGCACAATTTCAAGATGGCCGCTACACAAAACCAAAATAAGAAGTTAAAGAATTGCACAAGATCTGTGTCTATGTACACATCGATCTGGTTTACTTAAAAAAACATCCTAGAATTGCACAAACTAGGCATTGCGCACTGCCTTAAATATGTCCATGTACACATCAATCTATTTTCATTTAAATAAAATCGGGAAGCTAAAACAAAGTTATAACTATCGTGGTAACCAGAAGTGAGGTTTCATCGCCAAAATTTTAAAACAATTGTTGCCAGTCGAAGGTGCACCCAATTCTACACTAGAGCCAAAATGAGTTTACAGAGCTGAGTAACAAAGTGGGTCTATATTTATATACTTTTGGTGTGGCCAGTTGCAACCAAAAAGGGAGGTGCACAACTATATATTATAGCAGTCCTATATAAAAAATTTCAACTTTCTGAGGTTACATGTTTTTGAGTTACACGAGATACATGCATATGTACATACAGACACCACGAAAAATTCTCTTCAGAATTAATTTTAAAGCAGTTTTACAATTTTTTTGGAGGAAACGAGTCTTTTATTCTGTTCTTACGTACAGATATCACGCAAAACATCGTTAAATTGCATCCGATATCGGTCAAAATGGATATTTTCGTTGAAATATGCTGCCTTTTCGTGATTACAATACTTCCTTTTTACTTCGTAGAAGGAAGTAAAAAGAAAAATGGAAATAATTCATAGCATCAAATTAATCACAGCATTGCAAAATTAATTTACCAAGATATATCAAATATTTAGTTTAACTTAAAGTACTGAACTACAGTGCAGCGGAGTTTATTCATCTTTTACATTTGTATGTTGTTTTATCTTGGTCTCAGTTACACTCTATTTATTTTAATAGCAAACTATTTCTTTTATGCATCACATAACTCGGGTTATATATCACTTTTTGCTCGATTTACTGAATTGGTTTTACATTTCACAGTCCCACCATTCAAGTATTTTCCTCAGAAATTAGGAAAGGAGAAGGAAACAAAGGCATGAGACATCACAGTCTGCCACAGGAGTTGAAAACCACTTCATGAATAGAGGAAATATGGCTGGACTAGAATATAGATAATGTTTTTTTCTTCTGAACAGGATGCTGTGTTAAGTAAACTACTTGGAGTAGAATTAACTGATACAAAATACCATGAAAGCGAAAGGCACTCTCACTGAAAGATAAAATTCAAATCTTAAAAAAATTATGAGAATACTGATTTGACAAAAATTGTGTATTCTTGTAACAATACTAAAAACAGTTGTTTATGATAAGAAAAAAAGTTAAACAAAAAGCAGATATTTTTAAACAATGTGCTTCAAAGAAATTACATGCTCAAGATGGAAAGTTTGCTGAGTTTAAAGACATTCTGCTAAAATATTTCATTCAATGTCATGCTTCCAATGAACTTCCCCATGTTAATCGAGAAGTCAAAAGAAATAGCACATTGATTGCATGTAAAGGAAGCCTGCTTTTAAACTGGAGGGATGCATAAATTTAAACTGTGGTATGGAAATCTCATGTCATATAAAAAAATGGAGGATTAAAAAGCATTCCTGTCGAGTTGACTGAAGAGTTCAAGAATTTATCCACCAAAATTGATGGATATGGATTAAAAGTTATTTTTAATGTTCAAGAAACTGCTATTTTCTTGTCTTTAAACTTATGCCTGCAAGAACTCCCTAGCGGTGAAAGGCGACCAGTATCATGGAGTTAAGTACAGTAGAGAATGCCTTACTGTTTAATTTGCGCAAATACTGACGGTATGGGGGAAAAAAATGATTCCTTTATTTATAGGAAAGTTACAAAAACCAAGGTGCTTCAAATATACTAAAATTCTGTGAGTTGCAGTAAGTGGAACGCATCTGACAGGTCTACGAGCATATAGACCAATCTGCCCTAAGCGTCTGTACACTGTCTGCCTTGAAATTGTCGTACTAGTGGCTGAAGAGACAGGTCTGAGGCTGTGCTCCGCTTGTTTCTTTTGGCAGTAACTGCCAAATTCGTAAAAAATCTCATTCGGCGTTGTAACTCTGAGGCGACCTGTGCTGTAACGTCTACTTACATTACCATCATCTTGGAATCGTTGCCAAAGCCTGGAAATGACACTCTGGGCAATTCCAAATTTTGTCTGATACTTCCAGTTGGGTATGCCCACATTCCAGACGGCCAATAATTCTACCGTGTAAAAAATCATCCAAATGCGTCCCTTTGTGTCATAACTATTCGGTTATTGCACTGAAATGCTTATATACCCCCTGCGAACAATTTTACTTCTTTGCCTGTATTCCTTATATATCACTCTTACACTCTTGTCATTGTGACGTACCATCGGTGTCATCTGGTTACTTCCTGAAATTTGCATATGATTCTTGAAGATGTGTGTAGTGATTTTACAGGTGATACATTTATTTTAGAGTTCGATTTCCACATGACTCCGAATTATCCTTAATTTATGGACATGAGTGTAGTTTAAAATATAGCTACTGATTATATTGCATGATATTGTACGAATATCTGGAAAAATCCAGCATTTTGTTATATTTCTTGTGATAAGAATAGATTTTATCAACTTTTTATTGGAATTGTGAATTCAATCTATTACGAACCCGTACGCCTGCAACAATATGTTTCACATCATAAGGTAAAATTTTATTTATATGTCTTCCTTTAATATGTCATTTATGAATGGTCTCTTGAAAGATAAACTGTGCTCCACTGTATGATAATTAAAAAGCATGTTAATAAATACATACCACCCTGAGAAGAGGATGAATCTATATTCAATTTTTGAGGACCTCTGTTCATATTTTCATATGATGGGCCAATTTTTGTTAAATCCTAAAATTAATTTCTAAGAATTACATTCAGGACTTTAAAAACAAATAATGCATAATTATTTAACATAATAAAAACATATTTTAAATAAAATTAATCAAAAAAGAAAGCAACAGGAATTTATACATTTAAAAAAAATACTGTTATAAAAAACACTTTCATGTTGCTGGCCAGAACAGGGTGCACCTTTTCCATCTTATGTTTATTGTTTAGTTCTTTGCGGAATTTTTTGGATAAAAAAAAGGGGGGAATAAATATTCTTCTGTAAGCAAACAAATTGCAAATTGCTGTACACAAAATTTTTCATGTAGTGAAATCAGTAAATTTCATGTAATGTATTCCAAAAGCATATGTAAATCAAGTGCAAGTATCAAAATGTATGAATAATAAATGTATAATACAGTACAAAGTCCGTAATCTGGACTCGTCGGGACTTCGATTTTGGATTAGGGTTTTTTCCAGATTATAGATCATCAATTTAAATCTCGTAAGATGGCATGCAGAAATAATACAATTAAAAATATGAAACTGTAATTTATGAAATAGAGAGCAGTCATGATCTAAAAGGTATCAAAATTTACAAAAAAAAAAAAAAAAAAAAAAAACTTAATATTTATTTGTTTACTTTAGCAAACATTTCTATCAATGTAAGTTGTTTAAGTTGCTTCGTTTTTTGTGCTAATACTTTCTCTTTAATTCTATAAACAGACATAATTTCTTGATCAGTTACAAAGTTTTACTGTTCAAGTCCTGTAATTGCTGTGTCGAGAATACCAACACAGCAATTGTAGATTAGTTCGCAGCAATAATTAATCAATTATTTGTAATTCAATTTTAATTAAAAATTTAATTGACTTTAAATTTGCTTTTTCGAATAGAGAATGTTTAAGACACAATAACACACCAAAGAAATACTAATTCAGAAGTCAAACAACAAAAATCAGCGTTATATTTTAAAATTTCCACAGTAGTCCTGTGAAAATTTGAAAATATAACACTGATTTTTGTTGTTTGACTTTTGAATTAGAGAATGTTTGTTAAATTCAAATTTTATTCCTTGCAGCAATGGTGCAAAGGAATTATTTAAATTTAATTTAACTTTACTATATTCTTTTGAAACAATGCATTATGTAATTTATATATAATAGTTTAGATATTGAAATTAGAAGTCATGCTTTCCTTAAGGTAACTTCGAATTCTTACAGCTATTTGTTATGCCTACTATTAATGAGAATACTTCCTACTGAATTACTTCTAGAGTTTAATCGATCATTAGCCCCTGGCACAGAAACACAGTGACTAACATTTTCGAATTTCTGAACAATAAAGTTTAGAGCAGACAGCATAATTTTTTCGAAATATCACCAAATTTCTGATTTTAAAACCAGAAACAAACAACATAAATGTCAGTCAAGAGATCTTAGTAAAAGCGAAAAATATCACACTGCCTTCACTAATAAACATTTTGTTCCAGCAGTTATTCTGTTGAATACAAATATATCGAGAAGAAATTGCATATTTTGCGGCAAGGTGGAAAATTAATCCCTGAAACATTACACTTCAGACTACACAATTCCAATTGAGGAGGAAAAGAAATTAAAAACAGCTAGCAGATGTTTTTGCAAGTCTCATATGTCAGCCTGTTACAGCTCAGACTGTAACATAGTGATTTATGTCCATTAAGGCATAATACTATTTTGCACTAAAATAAATTTGAAAATAAAAATGAGTTTCAAATCAGACACACTAATGGTGTCAGTTTCGGAAAGAGATAACGAAAATAAAGTTTCTTTACAAACTGCATAAACAACAGCTTTAAGTCAGAATAGAAGAAAAAATGCAAGAATTATTTTCGATTCTAGTTCTCATAAATCTTTTACCCTAAAAGATTTATCAAAATAACTGAAATTAAATGTTATAGGGGAAGAAGAACTTCAGATTTACACCATCGGCTTTACTGGGCCTACAGTTAGAAGGCTAAAAAAGATTTTAAAGTTATTTTTATAGATGAATCTAAAAAATAACTGAAGCACTTGAAACTATTAGCCAAGCTGTTACTGGTGTGCCAGGAATGGAAATAATTACTATAAAGAAGATTTGATAAGACTTGCTGATACTGCAAACATAGGAGGTCACAGTTCTCAAAATATCAGTATTAATTGATAATGATTTTTATTGGAAAATAATCACTGGGAAGGTTAAAAAATTATCAAAGTGTCTTGTTGCCTCCAAAGTGGAACTGAAGCTTTAAATAATGTCTTTACATTTCATTCCGCAATTATGTTAATGAATAGAGTTGAGAATATTTCACATGCACAGAATTTTTAAACTAGTGCAGCTCTAAAAAGGTTATGAGATTTAGATGCAACTAGAATAGCTGACTCTGAAATAAATGAAAATGACAAGTTATGTTGCGATTTGAAGAAATGATTGAAAACAATCCTAATTAAGTTTCATTACTTGGAAGGACAATGTCATCAAAATAGACAGTAATTATAATATCACCTTACACAGACTGAGCAGTTTAGTTAGAAGATTTAAGAAAAATCTTGAAATTTCTGACAGGTATTCAAGAGTAATGGATGATTATCTAAATAAAGCAACAGATGAAAAGGCTTTGAAGAATTCTATCGGAAATATCTATTTTTTACCACACCATAGTATAACGAAAGAAGATCACGATTCAATGAAGTTAAGGATTGTGCATCATAGGCCAATTAATTGTCGCTTCATAACTTACCTAATTGGTACACTTAATTAATTGGCCATTCGTTATAGACTCATCACAAACTACCTTTAAATTATTGCTTGCACTCATGGCCAAATTCAAATCCTGAATGATTACATTTGTTAATTAATTTTTATTAAAATAGAATAGTATGCATGTGTTAAAGCTACATTTTACAATTTCTGTTGAAGCCTGAGAGCAGAAATGCTGCGAGATTCTTTTGATTTGCAAAAGGAAAAGGAGCAACCGACGATTCTAAGAACAATGCGTTGAAGCAATCTGCAATCCCTTTTTATTAACAGCAACTATACAGCACCATCCAAAAGAGTTGAAAATTACAATACTTTAAGATTTATCAGCTTCTTGAAGAAAGAAATTATGTAGATGATTTGATTAACAGTACAAATGACGAAGAAGAAGCTGCAAAAATTTATGAAGATGTAAAAAAAGATTAGAATTCTCATTAGTTTTAATATTAGAAAGTGGAGGAGCAGTAACTGCCGATTACACGCAGCTGAAAATATGATATTTAATAAAGATGGAACAAATAGTACTGTTTTAGGATATACCTTTGAATTAAGTAGCAGATGGACTGAAATTTCACATCTGAGATGAAATGGTCAAAGATGTAAGTGAGGAAATAACAAAATGGAAGATTTTTCAAGTTGTGGGCCAAATATAGGATATCAGTTTTGAGTCTCTCTTTCTTGTTGTAGCTAGAATGATGATGCAAGAATGTTGGCATAGCGGATATTAATGAGATGCACCACTTGACTAAGGATTTCAAAAATCATTTATAGACTAGTAAAATAAGATTACTATATCAAAAAATTTGAAATTTGAAGACATTTCAATAATTATCAAATATTCAACTGCATTATTTAACAGATAGCAGCCAAAAGGAATATGGCCCTGTTGTATGCTTGAGATGAAATGAGCAATGGAAATGAGCTAATAAAAACATCATTTGTCATGTCCAAAGCAAGACTGGCCACCCGTACTGAAGCTTTTAGGAGCAGTCATAGAAGCTTGGTTCATAACATTTATCTGACATTCACTGAAGAACTTACAAATGGAGATATATCTGTGGGCAGATACCAAAACTAACATTGGGTCAAAGGTGATCCGATGAAATGGAAACAATTTGTACAAAATAGATATCTAAAAATTCAAGAGAAAAACTGATCCAGATTGATGAGATTATTGTCCCAGCTGTGAAAATTCTTTGGACTTATTGACAAGAGGATAGAAAGTAGAAATTCTTTCAGAAAATGACCTGTGGTGGTATGGCCATCCTTGACTTGTTAAAGGAAACACCTTTTGGCCCAGATCTCCAAGGATCCTTAATGAAAATTATAAAATAACAAATCCTGAGAAATGAAAAAGAAAGAAATAAGAAATCTTAACAGTAAACTGTCTTGTTGAGAATAGCAAACCTCTCTTTCCTATCAAGAACTTCAGTGACATAAAGAAAATATATAGAATAATAGCTTGTATTTTCAGATTTATCAATAATATGAAAAACGCAGAACTGGAACTTTTAAGACTGAAGAGATGACTGAAGCAGAGGATTTCTGTTTCAAGAAGAAAGCTCAAGAAAAAGAACTTAGAGAGGAAATAAGGAAATTAAAGCTGGAAAAAAAGCATAGACAATTCGAAAATATTTGCATTAAATCCACTTGTCAATGCAAATGTTATAGTAAGTGGAAGGCTTCAGGATTATGGCTTGAGCTATAACCTAACATACCCTGCAATATTACCTGAGAAGTGTCATTTGACAGATTAAATAATTAAAGATCGCTGCAAAAGGTTGTCATGCCAGAGTAGCTGAAACCTTAATTCAAGTTAGAGAGAACTTTGGATACTAATAGTCAACAACACATAAAAAGTAATATTAATATAAGAGTGTGATTTGCTACAGGTTTAAAACTAAGCTACCAAATCAAGATATTACTCCATTACCAACAAAAAGACAAATATAAGCAAATTCCTTCAAAGATTTGTTGGTCTTTTAATTCCAAACAAAAAAAAAAAAAAACTGAGAAGACTTGTACTGCTTTACATACATGCACTGTAACAAAAGTGATGCATCTAGAACTGATGTCTAGCCTGATGGCAAAAGATTTTCTTCTGTCCTTTAAAAGATTTATTTCAAGAAGAGGAGTATGTCAAGCAACATCGTGAGATAATGCAAAAAAATTTCAAAATAAGGATTTACAAAAATTATAGAATACCAAAGTTCAAAATTATTTTGGTAACAAAGGTGGAAATTCAA